GTTCTTTATGTGGCGTGAGTCCCACGATTCCGTCCATCTGGATAATTGGGTCGGTGCCACCTGCATAGACACCGGCTGCTGCTTTCCCAGGATCTTCGGTGTCATGTTAAGCACTTTTGTGGTGGCTTGTTCAAGTATTCGTGGTTGGGAAGGTGAAGGGACCCTAAGTGTAATATAACTAGCAAGGTGAGTCTCCATTCCGTCAATAGTTTATACAACAGGCTAATGGGAAACCTGGGTGATCATGGCAAAAGGGCAGATAAACCAGTAGTCCAATGTCACCCACAAACGCTGGGAAGTGTATAGCTACTGCCAGTGTTCTATCAGCTACAACACAATGAACCGATGTGTATTTTATCCACACAGTGTAAACATTCATCTGCGAGCCTACAGATTGGCTTGTGCTTCTTTCACTGAACAATGGTCAGCTTGCTATGCCTACGAGTTACCATGCTCACACCCGAACCACGTTGCACTTACTTCACGGTTCAACTGTATAAGACGTCAAACAAAAAGTCAAAGTGTCGTAAGATAAATAACTGACTGGGGGAGGACGCTACGACAGAGCTCTCAACTCACAACCGGATGTCTCTCTCTCTCTCTAGACGTGCCATGCCCTTTCTCAAAGACATCAGCGAGCATGGCCTTCTATTTAGTTTCATCGATGATACCAATCTAAAACTTTGTGTGACATTCGCCCAGTTGCCTCCGAAATTACACTCACTTTGCTGTCTTTCCCAGCGTCTTGTACCTCTAAATGTCCGTTTAACTGCTATATCCAGTCTCTTGTCTAAGAAATGTACATTGCCTTTCTCTCATTATTCTTGTTAATGTTCGTTTTGTACCTGCAATCCATAATACACCTATTTGTACTCACCTTGCCTGTCCATACATATTTGACATCCTTATTTTTTTCAATCTTGCTTCTAGTTTGCTCCGTAGGGTATTTGTAATTGTCCAGCTTTTATAGAGACCCATAGACTCATAGACATCCATAGGCTCATAGAGATCCATAGACTAACGTCGAGACGCAGATTTCACATCCACATAGGAGAACAGACCAGCATATGTGACACTGAAGTATTTTAATTCTCTTTGTCATTAATGATTTCTTATTTTTCAATACATATCCCATTTTATGAAAGATATATTTGCCAGTGTTAGTCTTCTGCTGATGTCTGTGATGCTTCTTCCATATACTGTGAGCATGCTACCTGGATAGTTAAAATGCTCCACCTGCCGAATTTTGGTGTCACTGACTTGCACTTATCCCAACATTTTCTATTTTGACTTCACCACGTGTTTTTTTTATTTATTGTTATTTTGTGCCTTTATAACATTATCTTTTATCAAACATGTTTCAACACATTATATCATCTGCATATCTCAGGCCGTTTTGACCACCACCACCAACAACTACCCCATGCAACTCTTCGATCTAAAGAAAACAAATGAGGTGGTAACACACACAGCCTTGTCTGACTTCTCTCCTTATGCACGGAAACTCACCAACCCCCCACATTAACTATCACAGCTGCTGTTTGCTCCCACTTTCCTATCACTCAAAGGTCTTTTCAATCTAGATCAAAATTCACCAGTTCAAATCCCGGTTCGTGGGTTGACTCATCCAATCATCCTTGCACACTTGCCGAATTTGTGGAATGCCAAATTTGAACAGCAGCGTGGGGAGAGGCACAGGGGGAGGGATTGTAGAGCCTCGTCGTTTGACCTACGGAGTCACGGAACACGATTTCAATAGCTGCAATGCACTGCGCTGTGTTCCACAGGTATATTTTAAGATCAGCGAACTCTCTCTGCCGCAGGGCTCTCCTTCAACTCGATTTGAACCAATTTCGCCCAGGTAATGGGATCCTTTTTTTAACAGCTTCACGCCAAGCACACTTGTTGCACTGCTACTGGAAGTATGCGAATTGGTCTCACTACCCACACCGAAAGAAAGCATTACCATGTGCAGTGAGAGCGGCAGTACAAGTAATGTGCCACTTTAATTACTTGACCAAAGCAGGCACCGATACAATATTGCATACTTACTTTGTTTACAGCATGTGTTATCAGATTCATGGTCTATGTGTAAATTATGAATTGACTAATTTTGATCTCATTATTTTCATTAAAAACCACAACAACTGAAAAATGATTCCAAAAGCAATGGTGCCAGCAGCTTGCCGTGATACAGCACTGTTGTTTTTTGAAGCTCAGTAAACCAAAAACGTACGATTACATTTTTTGTAATAGATTAAACTAAATTATAATTGAATTAGAATTTAAAATGATAATTTATTGAAATAAAAATGGGGTAAAGCGTTGGTACAGTGGTTCTCACACTGCTGTGATCTATCCAGCAGTGGAGAGATCGTAGCTATCTATCAGCGAGGAGACAATTCTCCCCGCTCACCATCACCAACCCTCACTGACAAGGTTGGTGAAGTATAGTGAAATAACTTCCCATGTAAGACAGCATTATGCCTTAAACTAGCAGTGGATTGACAAATGGCTACAAGTTATTTTATTTCCATTTGTTACTTTAAAAAAAATACCAATTCAAGGATTACATTACATTGCTTCCAAACTCTCAAATAAATTGGTAATCGTAAATATTTTGAAACAATAATCCTTCCAGACATGTCCACTATTCCAAACAGTGATTGATGGCTTGAACAAATGTTATCCGGTTTGCTGCTGCTTACACTGAGAGTCTGCAAAAATGACAGTAATTATCATTGCTTTTGCAGGACACATTTATTAAGAGTGAATTTTTGTATGACTTCACTTGGTGGCCATTTATCGGTCTCCGTTCAACCATTATTCGAATAATCTGTAAGTACTCTTGGCAGTCATTGCCACACTCTGCCAAGCAAAGATGGCTTTCCTTCATAATGTCAGGGCGGAGGCCTTGTGGCAGTGGACAATTCAACATTGACGAAGCAGCTGGTTTGTATGCAACCTCACAGCAATCAAGGCTATGTGGGGTCATGTGGATGAATGCGAAATCCTCAAAAACAGCAACACAAGTAAATCAAGGCCACCCACCTCTAAGTCTGGCTCCAGCTCAACACTTAAACGGCAGTAACTTTAGTTCCAAATCTCCCAATGGAGTATATTGTACGCTACATCGAAGAAATGTACCCAATCGGAGCTAATTGTTCAGGTCAAATGATTGAAATTGCCTGTTTAAATAAACACGCAGTATATCTATCCACATATTCAAATGTTGCCTGGAAAATCCATCAAATTGGGGCGTCTCGTTTGCAAGGGTGTCCAGAATATATCCGTGCAAATATACGCGCATATTCCAACAAGTATCTGTGCAGTGCTCACTTGTACTGACTGTCCTGGAGCCAGTGGTGGATTTTCAACGTTACTGTAGTCAGGATCAATATAACTATTGGACACCAAGCGTCCATTCGATAACCAAATGAAACCAGCATGGGGTGTTACTCATCTCTGGTATCAGTCTTGAGCCATTGGCAGAAATTGCGCATTCCTATAGCAGAGACCAGACTATCCACCTAGACAATTAGGAATGGCCTCCCAGAAATGTAGTTTTCATTTTATCGATGCTGGAGGGATGTTGGGGAACAAGAGTAAAGTGCAATTTTTTTTTACTACTTGAGTTTTTGTTTTGATGCTTAGACATATAAATATTTATGTAATGTTACGGTGAATGCAGAAAGTTATTTAAACATGCTACAGTGAATATTGTTTTTCACGCTAGTTGCTTTTGCGTTTACAATGACGATAATCACAATAATGACATCTCAGTATGATTATTCAAGGTGATACGTGGCATCGGTTAGTGGAGGTATGAAACCAATGGCATATATAATTAATAATATAGGGAGCTTAATGTATCAATTATAGTTCCACACCCAGTATAAACTTGACACAATGTTTTCTGAGGTGGCCAGGTGACTCAGGAGCCAGAGCACTGAGCCGGCACCAATAAATTCCTGGCAGTGAATCTGGGTTCACCCCACCCCTGATTACACCGTGTTCTCAAGTGTAGCTGATGGTCTCAGCCCAGTCAGAGAATGACTGCTCAGCCCAAAAAAAAAAACAGATTGTACTGTTGTTTTCACGTCGTTTAGCTAACCTTAACATTGAGCTCGAAAAATATTAATTGAAGTAAATGTTTACCGTCATTAAAGCAAAGTGGCAGAAATGGGAAAAATGCGCCTCCGAGCATGCAGATATAAAAGGACACTTGAAGACATCTCGGAAGTAGATCGGTGATATCTATTTCTGCGAGCCGAATTCTGAATAGACACTTTATCTCCTGAGATGAAACTGGTTAGCACAAGTGAAATTACAACTGGGAAAGGGTAAAAACTATTTTAATGAAAAATAAAGCTTTATACTGTCTAAACTCTCTACAGAGGACGTGATTGTGAGAAAGTGAGGTCAATTATATAGGTACTGTAAAGCTCAAACTCCATTCCGCTTGTCTCAACTGCCACACATCCACCACCATTGTAAATACAAGTCAGAGAGTCGAACTAGACCACTACTAAATCAATAAATATTGCAAGACTCGTCTCTGCTGGTGCTTCTTAACTAGTGGTGGACATATTCTTAGTTCTTTCGGTAAAGTCACGTTGAAGGGGGCAGTCAATGCGTAGCACAACATTGTTGACGTCCCACAAAGCGGTTCCTATTTTACCAACCGCAGAGGAATGATGGACCAAGTGAACCCCCGACCCGGGGATATGAACTCGTGTCGCTCCTACCCGTGCGTCGAGTTCTCTAGCCGTGGCGTCACCTCAACGGGCAGCGCCAACAAGCCAACAGCGATCACATTTCCATCTTCTCTGGCATTCCCTCGGCACACGTCAATTAGGTACCGATGCATCGCATGCCAATGTTGGCCGGGTTAAATTAACATCTGCTGCGAGGGGGATGAGGGAGGCGCTTTGAGAGACACGGCTATGCACTGACCCGTGATTCACAGGTGAGTGAGAGAGTGAGAGAGAGCGCCGTACCCGTGTGCCAGGGAGCAGTTGGTGATCCTCTTCCACTTGAATCCTCGCGGTGTCTCACCGCGCGAGAGACACCCGGCTCCGATTTCTCACTCACTCAGCTGCCCATGCTGCAAGATCCGCTCTGTACAACAGTCAAAGGAAAAAAAAACAATTACACCTGGGTGATTTTTTTTTTGGTTTTACACTTATATTCAGCACACTGGACTGGTAAGGCAGAAGACGCCAATTCAGTTCCTTCTCTCAGCAAGGCAGCTGGAAAAAGTGGGCAAGTCTCCGAAGTCCCGCAAACTCGGTCCACCCAGCGGCATAAAGAGGTACAGCCAGAGTCGAACGGCAGGTCGCGTGTGACGGGGAGAAGTGTGGACACCCACCACTGCTTCCACAATATCTGGCCAGCGTGGGAGAGTACACTAACCTACCCCGTAGAGGGGCTCTCACGAGCTCCCTTTAGCGGAGGCCCCACCGCCGGCAGTGGTGCGTGCAGGCAATTGCAAGGCTGCACCTTTACTGTTTGGCACTCTTCCGAATAAACATTTCGTTTAATCCGGTCAATAACATCTCAATCATCTTTTACAATGCAAAGGCACTTAAATAGCCAACACATTGATTGCCATGCTGAATCCGGGCAGGTGGCGCTGCAGATAGAGTGCTTCACTCGCGATTGGGAATCCGTGAGTTCAAATACGGTCAAGGGGTCAACTCGACCCATCATCTCTGCTGGCTCGATAAAATAAGTATCATTTTGTCAGACGTCGCGATTAGTTGTGCTCCAAAATATTGGTCCCTAATCTTAAGGAAAGCAGAATTTCCACTACTAGCCGAGAAACAATGTTAGGTATGGGTACTGTGCTCACTTTGCTCTGAAGACACATCTGATTTTGACAATTGTTTTAAATATTGGAATAGATTATCCCCACTGGAATGAGCATGTGGCAGTACGTATCACTGCTGGTGGTCCTCAGATAGAAATTCCACAGTCCTATGACAGACACCAGCTGATCTATCGCAAGTCATCTGTCACATTCTCACATACAGTGTTAGTACTTAATATAGGATGATACAACCGTTTATAATTCATATTGATACCATCAATGTTTGCATATTGAAATAAAAATAAGTCAAAGTAAAATGTACGTAATATTAGCTATATATTTCAGTCCATCAATAATTATGTCCAACACAATACTTTTACGTCATTTACCTTTGAATAAATGATTAAATTGTGAACACAATACTTTAAATGATTCAAGGATACGGTGAAATACGCGAGTTCATTTGAGAAACACGACTTCGTATAAAACAACATGTTAAAAAAAAAACATGAGTAAGAAGAAGAAGCAGCAACCTCAACACAAAACGAAAGGACTGCAACACGGTGTGTGTGTGTATACACCACTTTACATTAAAAACCAAGACACACCGAAGCACCAACGCATTTCCACACTCTGCAGCCATCCGAACCGCGGCATGCCATTACACAAAAACGCACGCGCGCACGCGCGCACAGCAGCAACAGCAGCAGGACCGTCAACACGTCGCACGTTTAAACGCCGACAAACGTGAATTACGAGCTGCGGTTATGCTCGTCGACAAGGAGGGGATGTATCCACGTTACCAGCCCAGGGGCGGCTTCACTCGACGCGAGCCGACCTCGACAACCGCGCGCCCATTCCGATCCAAGTGGCCAGGTGCTGCTCCCCGGCCGATAGGTAAAATCACAGCCGACGGAGGACGGATTCGATGTCAGCTTCAGCTGCTCACTGTCTCGGAGGGTTTGTCTTTTTTAAATCGCTCGGCGGATCTGTGCGCCCGCCCGCCCGCCCGGTAGTCAGAACAATGCACACGACGTCGAGAGAGAGAGAGAGAAGGGAGGAGGTGTTGGTGGAGTTTGCCGCACGCGTGCACGAGAGAGGCGAACACGACCGCAAACGGCCAAACCCACTCTGCCTTGCGTGCGAGTCGGGGTTTTTTTTTCTTCTTCTTCTTCTTTGTTTGTTGTTGTGTGTTTCAAAGTCGCAGTCCGGCTCAAAGTTCTACCGCCCGCTTGTGCGTGGTTGTGCGTGACCCGTCTTCCCCCCCACTGCCGGATGAAGCTAGTGCGGGTTATGTTCTAAAGGGCGCCTAATTAAAAAAAATAAACCCATAAATATTAAAACATATTTTTTTACTTGCACAGCAATTTTATCAATTTATTATTTTATTATCATTCTACGTGACTTTACCGAAAGAACCAAAGAAGATGAATCATTGCAGTCACGAAAGCTTTAAATCGAAATTTGCACAGCAAAGTCATTGTATTTTTTTACTTGCTATACAGCCAGATAATACGACAAATCGCTAACCTTAAACACCCAGTCGTTCATAAAAGTTGAAGGCAGTATAGTACTATAGTAATAGAGCAAGTACAGAATCACTGGACCGGAATTGATAGCTTGAAAGCATTTAGCGCGGCGCCCTTGAAAGTGCGCGGGGCCCGTAGCTACTACATGTGTAGCTACTTTTGCTACGAGGATAATCCGGCACTGACCCCCGCCACCACCACCACCACCGCCTCTGATCGCGATTGCCGCTCCCCGCTTGAGTCGCACCGCGTGCGTGCGTGCGCGTCTTGTTTAAGAGACCCCGGGGTTCAAGTGCGGAGTGTGTGGTGGCTCTTCCGAGCTGACTTGGTCAAGCTCGCCGCCACATGCCCTCGCACCCACATGCACGCACGTGTGAAGTTTTGATTCCTTTGAAAGACTGGTTCTCATCATCACGTACGTGCATCGCTTCAGAGAGATCGAGTGTTAGAGTCATCAGAGGAAGGAAAACAATTGCGGAGGGAAAAGCATAATAAATCTGATCGTTGTGATGTTTAGTTCATATGAGCACATGTGTTGTTATTATAAAACTTTTTTTTAAAATAATATTTTAAATATTATAATACAATGTATTTTTTTTGTATTCATCAAAACAACATTTGACAATATTGTTTTCATTAATACAAGTCTTTTTAAACTATTGATGTCACCAATTATGCTCCAGTATTCCTGAGTACAGCATCGTTGAGACGAAAGAAATGCCGAGCATAACCTTATACGATGAACTAAAAATGAGACACACACAGTGTCAAACCGACTGACCAAACATTACACTTTATTTTGGAGTTCGGCCCATGTGTGCTGTATGCATAATGATGTTTTCTCAACCTTGAGCTCAAATTCTCTGCTCAGATTTCTCAACTCTTACCTCTCCATCACCACTTTCTCAACAACACGCACCACCAACACCTTGACCTCTTCACTACTGACACCATCATTCATACGTTCATTATTTGTTTCCTTGGTGAGTACAATTCTCCTTTCTGTGGAATATATTGACCTCAGTTGTTTTTAGCGAGCAGCTGTTATAAGGCCGGTGCAACATGAGGATTGCGTGGCCAGCATTCTACGCAAACCCGGCCACCTTTATCCGAAGTCAACCTAGGGAAAGTCCAGGCCAGCTTTACATGCCAAATACTGCTGGGTTTTTTGTGTCACGACCAAGAATTGAACTCGAGTTGCTGGGATTAGCCCAATGTGCTAATCACTAGTTACGCACAAATACAAAGGTCACCTTACAGCCCCACAGACTCTCTTGGAAAGTGCTAACAGTAAGCACTTATGAGTGAGTAGTGTGGCCACTACTACACACACACCAAACAAGTTTTCCCTTTGCTGATGTAGACACACAACGTCAGGCACCCATTTAATGCCGAGTAGATCTTGAGAAGATTCGGAACAGGTTCAGATGCCACATGCTACTGGTATGCATGGACAGGAAGCCAGGGTATTTGGATGACAGCACTTGGCACGAACCATGATCAACAGATGAGGGCACAGCCCTACTCACGCCACAGCTGGTGGAAAGGCCTCCACGAGAGGATATTAGGCCGACTCAGAGATTGAATCGATGTGGTGATTTCTCCATTCCTACTCCAGCGGTCTGAACCATTACACCACGGGCAGCATCCCCTCCTAACCATTGTGCCTAAGCCCAAACCACCACTCCCTGTACAGTACACGCACACAGCCACAACAGGTATCTTTTTTTAAAATATCATATTTAATCCTGCAAGTCAGTTGACACAAGCACAGCTGTATAGGTGTGGCCTCTGTGGTCTGTCTCAAGAGTTCACTTTTTCTCTTGGCAAAGACTGCTTCATGCAATCCGATTTTTGTTGGAGCGCACCAGATTCTTAACGGCACGCCCACAAGCCACGGTACAAAGCCGACAAAAGGCTCGGAGAATGAGAGAGAAAGAAAAAAAATAATGCAAACTATTTATTGCAGGTAGAGAAAGGCCCCAAAGTTCACCTTGCAGGACGATCATTGGCCCCCGCGTTTTTAAAAAACTAGATTCAAGTGCTTATTTTAAATCCGGTTTTTCGTAAGTGGTCACTGACACGCTTCGAGCGCGCTCCTCTTCGTGGATAGGTGGCATCGCAAGCGATGCTGCGTTACAACGCGTCCGTCTGACTTCAAGAAACTGGCAGAGTTAGTTGAGCGCAGGGGATATTTATTTATTTATCTCGTTTCTCGTAAAGTATCCAGGCCAAGTGGCGCTGGGGTTAGAGCATTCAGCTCATGGTAAACAGGTTGATTGAAAAAATTGCATGGAAAGGTTGACTCAATTCAGCATATCTCTGGAGTCAACAGAAGAATACTACTTTATGATGGGTCCCCACCCTGGAAAGGGCGCTATAAATCCGAAATAGAATATAATTTCCACAACTGGCTGAGGACTACTAAGAGAGATGACCACCAATCAATGAATACTCATTTGAGCAGGCACACAACTTAGACTTTGACCCGACTGCGAGTTGAAGCTGTGCTGCTCAAAGGAGTTCCCATTTAGGCTTGACGGTAAAACTGCTCGTGTAATTTTTACATATTTACGAACCAGTGTTTAGACATTAAGTGTGGGAAAGCCAGCTATATGTTCCAGTAATACTCAGAACAGCAGCAGTGACCTAAGCTAACAACATTCTGCTCAGACAGATTATTGACAGACATGAGTGCAAAGAACATTAGGGATTATTGACGCCTGTCTGTTGACACACGGACATTGATGTTGGTGTCAGCTTTCATAAAAAAGCACACT